ATATATATATATATATATATATATATATATATATATATAATATATATATATATATATATATATATCATACTCTCTTTAAAAGCACGAGTTCGGGAAAATCTTTTGGTAGACAAAAAGACCATTGAAATTCAAATTAATCGCATTAAGTAAGAGTAAGTTGATAAATTGATGAATTCTTATTGGATTACATAGTATGAAGATAATGATATAGTTTAAATTGAAATGTAAACCTAAATGGATTTATTAAAATGCCAAATTTATAAATATATACAAGATGAATGGCGTATATGCCAAAAATCAAACAAAAATTAGTGAGTCAAATAATGTCCGCTGCATAGGTCGAACCCCAAAACAACGCAGACCTACAAAGTATACATAATGTGGACGGAGTATTTGCAAAATCTATCAAACAAATTAAAGAGACAAAATCGTTTTGAAAATTATAAAAAAGGAAAATTAAAATAAACGCGTTGCGATATAAGGACACAACATGGTGATCTCTCACCAACTAAATTCAAGTAGTTCACGACACTAACATAATTAGTTTTCAAAGTTTAATTAATCCTATTATTATTTAAATAGACTCTATTTATAATTGTTTTTCTCTCACATGCAACATCACTTACCATGTTTATATGCCAGGAAACCTACAATAATTTTCGTAGCACTTTTATCTCCTTCTACATGTATTTGTCTTTGTTATTTTTTCTTATTAGATTAGATTAGATTATTTTAGCAATTAATTATATTGTATATTGATTATTTTTTTCATATCAAGAAATTCAAAAAAATTACAGGCACTTTCATCTATTTTCTTCTTATTATATTAGATTAGATTAGATTATTTTAAATAATTAATTATATTATATGTTTGTTTTTTTCAGATTAGAAATTTTAATAATTTCATAGCCACTTTTATCTCCTTCAACATATATGTGTTTTGTTATTTTCTTCTTATTAGATTAGATTAGAATTTTAAAAATTATGAATTATTGAAATTGCCCAACAATGCACATCATTTTTATCTATTTTTCGTATTAAATTAGATTAGATTATTTTAAAGCAATTACTTATATTGTATGTTTTATTATATCACAAAGTTTAATTATACTATTATATTATTAATATACTGTTTGTATAAAATCAAAAAGAATCTCACACATATCTTAAATCATCATTACCATTGTAATATTTACACATGGCGTATTGGTTAAATATATTTCATGTATGTGCTTAACTTATATAATCTACTTTAACGGATATAGATAATTTAATTTTTTTAACACCCAAACACTTCCACAAAATCAAAAGAGAGTAGCAATGTATATATTATATAATATATATATATATATATATATATATATATATATATATATATATATATATATATATATATATATATATATATATATATATATATATATATATATTCCACAGGACTACAGATATCTTGAAAATGAACGAAGAAAACCACGAAAAAAACCATATTAATTACCCACACACACCCACTATTTTCAAAACCACCATTCTCCATCTCCATCTATTATATATCCACATATCAAATTAAGCTGCTGGAGTTTCCCCTCACAAACTACACCATTCTCCATCTCCTTTGTACTTAAATTGTAAACATTCATTGTGATGAGGACTCACATGGATTCTTTGCCTGCCTTGAGCATCCAACAAAAAAATAATGTACTAAGCATTGTAGTTAGTTAATAATGAGATCCTATCATTATAAACAAACTAAATAAAGATTAATAATTCTTAAGAATGTACTATGTTACCCTATCTTCCCTTGCAAACTTGTTAGTTATTTATTCCTGGCTCGAAGATATTTTCAAAATTAATCATCTATTTCATAAAAAATTTAAATAAAATTTATGGAAAATGTAACAAACCATGTTTATAGATTTTAATTCAAAATGAATCTGACTTATTTTATAGTAAGAAAATAAATGAAAAATAATAATTTTGATATTTAACCACGTGCATTGCACGTGCACAAGAACTAGTATATATAAAGAGAGAGAGAGAGAGAGAGATTATTGAGTATCCTTGTCATAGGAGTGGATTTCCTCCTTGACGTATCTAAAATCATATGATTGAGCGACATTATGGATGATCCGCTCCGTTGATCTTGATCTACATATTCTAAAACCCCAACACACCAAGTTTGAGGTGAATTCATCGTCGTTTGACCCTCCATCGAGCAATGTGAAAAGTTATATTCATTCAAAACCGTTAAAATTGATACGAGTGGATGAAGGGTCAAACGACGACGGGTTCACTCCAAACTTGGTATGTTGGGGTTTTAGAATATGTAGATCAAGTTCAACGGAGCGGATCATCCACAATGTCACTCAATCATGTGATTTTAGAGGCGTCATAGGAGGAAATCCCCTCCTATGACAAGGATACCCATTAATCTCATATATATATATATATATATATATATATATATATATATATATAGAGAGAGAGAGAGAGAGAGAGAGAGATTAATGGGTATCCTTGTCATAGGAGGGGATTTCCTCCTATGACGCCTCTAAAATCACATGATTGAGCGACATTATGGATGATCCGCTCCATTGAACTTGATCTACATATTCTAAAACCCCAACACACCAAGTTTGGGGTGAACCCGTCGTCGTTTGACCCTTCATCGGTTGTTTGGATTATTATTTTTTGATAGATAGGGGGGGCTGTCAAAAATGTTAGTTTTTTGGCAGCTTTAACCTAAAATCGCTTCTTTTATAGAGGTGATTTTTGGGGAAAGCTGCCAAAAAACTAAAATTTTTGACAACTTTCCCCCTTTTTACCCGTCCAAAAACCGGAACCAAACGGAGTCTTAAATCATTTTGAAAGTAGCTAGGCTTTTATTTCAATTTAACCACTTCATACTTACCGTTTAGCAAAGGGTTAAGTGAGGGGTTAAGGAGACTTAACCCCTTCTTAACCTGTCAAACACAACAAATCTATATAAGGGCTAAAGTGAGTTAACCCTCCATAATTTGCCAAACATAAAAAATATAGAAGAGTTAAGTTAACCCCTCTAGAGGGGTTAAAATGAGTTAACCCCTCAAAATGCGGGGTTTACTAATATTCCTATTTAGATGGAATAAGAATTAACCATTCTAATTATAAAGAAAATAGTCAAAATCATTGTTATTCCCAAACACTAAAACTGATCATAAGGGCTAAAATAAAACTTATTTAACAGGTTAATAATTTAGTCATTCGGATTATCAAATGGGCTAAGTACATTAATCATTCTCTTTAACTCCTCTTCATTAACCCTTTGCCAAACGGGGTCAAAGGGATTAAGATTTTTTTTTTAAATAGTTAAGTATTTTGAGGAAAATGTTATATATTAAGTCATTAATTAGTTAGAGCATGAAAAAGAAAGAATTATCATTACTTTCTTTCTAAATACAGTATTACTTGTTAATCTTTCTAAATGGATGGATTGGTGAACCATTCAGCTTTCAAGATTGCTATTTTTGGTTTACCGACCTTTGACCTTTTGCATCTTTTTATTAAGGGGCTGTTTGGTTCGTTTCCTAGATATAGGGAAATGCATTTCTATGTACAAAAACACAAGTTTTGAGTTTTTCAAAATTTTTTAAAAAATAGATTGTTTCGCTTTGGTTCACACAAAAAAAATGGTGGGAAACCGATGTATTTATTTTTCTTGTGTTTGGTTCGCATGGAAAAAAAGAGAAACCTTTTGTTTATATGGCAAAAAGCTGACGTGGCTGCAGTTTTTGTCGATTTCACGAGATTGAGAAATGAATTGGGGGAGAGAAAAAAATCTGATGTGACGGCGGATTTCACCGAGTTTCTCTTCTTCAACCCTAGCGAACCAAAAATGAGAAAAAAAACCGACGGAAAGCTTATATCCTACGTGGTCACGAAAAATCTGATGTGGAAGCGGTGTAAAACTTTTCCACCGAGTTAAAAAACGAACCAAACAGCCCCTAAAAGGAAATAGAAGCGGAATAACAAACTTTATTTCATGTTCACTTTTTTTTTTGGGTACTTGGCGAACTATGAGGAGTTTACCTTTCTTAATCTCTCAACTAGCGCATTATTATACAACACTTACGTAATCCGTTATCAAACAACACTGATATAAATGTTAGAAAATAAAAGGAAAAGATAAGCAACTTTATTTTTTGTTTTGAACGCGATGACTTGCATATAATATATAACTTGTACAAGCATCGATCTTACAGTCTTCTTAATCACAAGTGTCACGCTTAACGGAGCTGTCTCGAAAATGACCCTCGTGTCCTCGCATAAGCAAGAATGAGTATACGGGAACACTTTTGAATTCCAATTTATGCTTAGGGCCTGTTTGGATTGGTTTTTTGAATAGGTAAGGGAGGGGTGAAAAATGTCAGTTTTTTGGTAGCTTTACCACAAAACCGTTTTTTTTTTATCCATTCAAAAACCGGAACCAAACGGAACCTTAAATCATCTTGAAAGTAGCTAGGCTTTTATTTCAATTTAACCACTTCATACTTAAAAGTTTAACCCAAGTCCACGCGAGGTTCACCTTTTCCGTACGCCTCATTATTGCAAGAGCGCCAACCAACGCGCATATTATAACAACAGCCTGCGATCCCACAACAAGTGCGAGCTCTCGAAGCCTCCTCCTTTGCACGATGATGCTCTCCCTGTGCCTCCTCCCCCTTGCATTCTTCTTCTTCTTCTTCTTCTCCCTTCTCCTCCTCCT